CTCAGCCTTCATTAGGGTTTCAGTAATTCCTCTCAGTTACATTACCCTTGGTCAAGCCCTACCAAGCCTCCTACCTCACCCTGGATTTATCATGCCTTTTGTGTGGCCCTTCTGAGACTATCCAATTATGTTACAGGCGGGTTTGGGGTCTCCACTACATCCCCACCCCTTCACATAGATTTGGTTACTTGTTTTTGAATTTCTGATACTTCTTCGCTTCAACACCTCATGATCACACAGGCTGGTGTACTTCTTCAATGTGGCCTTTGTTGCTTCCCTGCTAGGTGAATGCTTTGTTTAACTTCAAGCCTTTAAGACCCCAGACACTATATCTTTTCATAGATGGGCACTATCAGCTTTCTTTACCGCATTTGCACATGCACCCATTTGTCTTCAGTGATTGTGTCCGTTATGTGAGTATCATACCACACCTTATGATTAGAACAAATCCTTCTTGTACTGAGGTAAAATTTAAATGGAGGCCCAAAGTCCATCTGCTTCCTTGTTGCATTTGCATATATATACATATATAAACAAACACACATAGCTTTTTCTTCTTTCCTCTTTTTTATTTATTTTTAATCATTTTATTGGGGACTCATACAGCTCTTATCACAATCCATACATACATTGTGTCACGCACATTTGTACATATGTTGCCATTATTTTCAAAACATTTTCTTTCTACTTGAGCCCTTGGTATCAGCTCATTTTCCCTCCCTCCCTCCCTCACAAACTCTTAATAATTTATAAATTTTTATTTTTCCATGTCTCACTGTCCAATGTCTCCCTTCACCCACTTTTCTGTTGTCTGTCCTCCAGGGAGGGGGTTATATGTAGATCCTTGTGTTCAGTTCCCCCTTCTCCCCCCACCTTTTCCTTACCTTCCTGGTACGGCTACTCTTTATTATTGGTCCTGAGGGGTTTATCTGTCCTGGATTCCCTGTTTCCAGCTCTTATCTGTACCAGTGTACATGCTCTGGTCTAGCCAGATCTGTAAGGTAGAATTGGGATCATGAAAGTGGGGGGAGGAAGCATTAAAGAACTAGAGAAAGTTGTATGTTTCATTGTTGCTACACTGCACCCTGACTGGCATGTCTCCTCCCAACGACCCTTCTGCCTACAGGTGGGCTTTCGGTCTCCACTCTGCACTCCTCCTCATTCACAATGATAGGATTTTTTGTTCTTTGATGCCTGATACCTGATCCTGTCAACACCTCATGATCACACAAGCTGGTGTGCTTCTTCCATGTGGGTTTTGTTGCTTCTCAGCTAGATGGCTGCTTGTTCCCTTCAAGCCTTTAAGACCCCAGATGCTATATCTTTTGATAGCCAAACACCATCAGCTTTCTTCACCACATTTGTTTATGCACCCTTTTGTCTTCAGTGATCATGTGAGCATTATGGAATGCCAGTTTAATAAAACAAAGTGTTCTTGCATTGAGGGAGTACTTGAGTAGAGGTTCCATGTCCATCTGCTACCTTAATACTATGTTTATAAATATATGTACATAGATCTATTTCCCTATCATCACATATAAATATATTTACATATGTACATGCCTGTATTTAGACCTCTATAAATGCCCTTTGCCTTTTAGTTCTTTCCTCTATTTCCTTTTACTTTCCTCTTGTCCCACTATCATGTTCAGCCTTCATTTGGGTTTCAGTAATTCCTCTCAGTTACATTGCCCTTGATCAAGTCCTACCAGGCCTCCTACACCCCTTGTCTCTGGGTTTGTTAACACCCACTTCCTTTCCCCACCCCCTCCCATACCCCACAAACCCGTTGTTTTCTCCTCCAGATTGTTTATCCTGCCTATCTTATCCAGATAGTCATGCAGAGATAATAATATGCACAAAAACAAGACAAAAGAAAACAGCAACAAAAAAACCCAAAACAGCAACGACAAAGAAAAAAGCCTATACACAGTTCAAGGTCTGTTTGTTGACCTCTTCTTTCCTCTTTTCTCCTCTTTCCCCACTATGATGTTTACCCATTGTTCACCGATCAAACACAACCACTAAAGCTACACCTTCCTTGCCATCAATTTTAGAACACGTACTGTACCTGTGGCTCCCCGCTCAAACCACCCCCACCTTCCCATCCCCACCCCAGAAACCATCAGTCCAGTTGCTGTCTGTAAGATTTATCCTGCTTATTTTAGATACACACCAAAACCCAACAACAACAACAAAACACAGATAGTCAGTCACAAGTCTAACAGGGATCCTGACATAAAGCAGATGAATATCTCTCTGTTGAACAGAGAAAGGACATGTTATAAACCATCAGTCCAGTCCCCACTGCTTTGAGAGTTGCATTTCCCAGGTCCTGCTTACCTAACAACACACACAGATTTTTTAGTCTACTGAAGGTGATTTAAAATCAGTTTCTACTGTACAGGGAACTGCTGAAAATTCAAGCCATATCCAGAAGGTGATGAAAAATGAGGGTTATCACTGTTGGATATGTATGTAATGACAGGTACAGGTATAGTACAGAGAATACTGGGAAGATATTTACCTCTAGTTTTTTAGACTATGTGACCACAGATTGTAACCTTCAGTGTGGATTACAACTCAACATGAAAACACACACACACACACACACACACACACAACACTGGTCCAATAAGCAGCATCATGATTCCTGGAGAAAATCTTGAATGTCAATGATTTCATTTTACTTGGATCCAAAACAAATGCCCTTGGAAGCAGCAGTCAAGAAGTCAAACGATCTATTGTATTAGGCAAACATATCTGTTGCAAAAGACCTCCTAAGGTAAAAAATAGCCAAGATGTCATTTTGAGGACTAAGGTGTGCCTCTTCAAGCCATGCTATTTTCATTCAATTCACATGCATGAGGCTGGATAAGAAGAGATCCCTTTGAATGACAGTGTTAGTCAAGAATATTGAATACACCAAAGAGTGCCAGAAGGTTTAACCAAGCTGTCTTCGAAGTACGCCACAGAGCTCCTCAGAAGCTCACAAGCTCACATAAAACTTTAAGGCACAACATGCTGTCAATACGGGCAATTTAAAACGAAAGGCCTAGGCCGGTAGCTGGTAGGATAGAAAGAAGAGGGTAAGACTTGCTAACATTATCTTCTTAGATAACACGAAGTTGGTGGACTAGTAATGTTAAAACATTCAACTTCAATTATATAATTAATAGTACATTAATAGAATCACATTAGAAAGGTATTTAAAATTTAAAGTCACTAAAAAAAATCTAAAAATAAACATCAAGACTTAATTAAAGACAGAACAATAAATGCTGCGTGATGATGTATATATATATATGTATATAAATATGGAACACCTCACAAATTCACATGTCATCCTTGCACAGGGGCCATACAAATCTTCTCTGTATTGGTTCCACTTTTAGTATATGTTCTGCCAAAGCAGAACATGTATCATTTTATATTAATAAAATCCAAAGGCAGGCAAAATAAATCCACAGGGGTAAGTCAGAATAGTGGTAATCTTTGAGGAAAACAAGAGCAAAAATGAGGCAGGAGGAAGGTTGTGGTGAGTTGATACCCTGTCAGTTGATCTGGCACACAAGTGCATTCACTCTTGTGAAATGTATGGAACTGTCCAACAATCGTGTACTTTTCAGTATGTTATATTTCAGTAAAACCTTTTAGAAAGAACTAAGAGGAAGAGGAGGAGAAGTAAGATGGGGGAACTATAACAGCTCAGATTCAATACTCTAATGCTGACAAATCTGGAAGTTACAGAATGAGCTTATTTTTTACAAGAAATAAAATAAACATTCATCTCTGTACATTGATCATTTGTCCACACGTATGACTTTAGATGGCTCTGAAGAGAGAAGAGGCTCACGCTGAGATCCCTATGTAGTGTTTCTGTTCTTTCTTCTTTAAACACATGCACAGATTTACTCAGAACAAAACATGCTTTAACATATCTGTGATCAGTGTATGGCTACAAATAAGGACTCTCGGTCATATACTAAGTGTCTTAAAAGATATTCCCATGAAAACAGTGAGTTGTAAGGGGATCTGCTGGGCCAGAGAGATTAGCTCAGAAGATTATGGCGACATTTTTTCTCCAAAACCATTTTGTTAGGAGTGAATCCAGACATCATACCATTCCATTGTTCAACCACAGCAAGCAGTATTGCACAATCGCTACCAATATTCAGTGTTTCTTGATGAGAACTGCGTACTCAGTACCTACCGATTTCCTTTATGACATTTTACCTAGATTATTAATGACTAAGAGCATATCATGATTAAACATTCCGACAAGTGAATTATTGGTACATATTGAAATCAGAGCTGTACTTGGGCTTTCCCCACGTGAACCACTTGTATTATGGATTAAAATTATAATGATTGTATCAGGGAGGCGAGAAGTTGGAAAGATGATAGAAATATGGCTCTATAGCTGCAAGAACGTTGCTGCAAAAAGGGCAGTGCCCCAACCTAAGTGACTAATTTTCAACACCAGCGAACATCTATCAGTAACGGAATACAAAATATCTTTCCATCTCAGCACTGATAACACTATTAATGACTGTAATCGCTTCTCCAATCAGAAATCACACTTGATACTGTCAATAGCTAGAAAATGTTGATCGCCTATACCACCCCAAAAAGAACTTACAGCTGGAAAGTGAAACTTCTTCATCTTCCTCAATGTTCACCAATCTGGTATTTAGGTTCTTTTGGAAGAAATCCAGCATTGACATTCTATTGATGTCAACACTCCCTAATCAATGACTCCTTAGAACAGCGTTCGCAACCTGTGGGTTGTGACCCCTTTGGGGGTTGAATGACCCTTTCACATAGGTCACCCGAAGCATAACAGTAGCAAAATGACAGTTATAAAGTAGCAATGAAAATAACTTTACGGTTGGGGTCATCACAACATGAGGAACTGTATTAAAGGGTCCTGGCATGAGGAAGGTTGACAACCTGTGGTAGAGGGACCCGTATCAAGACAGCAGCAAGGACTTCCCTAGCATTTCCCTCATGATTTCAGAGTATACCTGAAAATGCACTCTGATGTGGAAAGTTATGAAAACCTTGAGGGGAAAAGTAGTGAGGGGAAAAACAAAACAAAAAAACCTGTGTGGCAGTTACATAATCTGTCAACTTGTGAAGGGGTAGAGTCTGGCCTGTCAATCAGCTTGCAGCTTGATGACCTCTTCTGGAGGAATGAATGAGATAAATAGCTCACTGGAGGCCAGATACACGCTCTCCCTGCATGACATTCCTGTTGACAAGCCACAAGGAGACACACTGATGGAGCTGGCGGAGCTACATGGAGACCCAGACCAGTGCTGAGATGCTTCCACCACCACTATCCTCAAGCCTTTCCACCCACTGGCCTGTGATCCTCCTGCATTCGGTGTCATTGCATGTGCTGTGTGAGTCTGAAGAGGAATTTAGAGAATTGGTATCAGACATTTGGGCTAATATCGGGCTTATGGACTTGATCTTTACTGGGCTGGGATGTTTTGTTAATATAAAATTACTCTTTGATATAAAGTTCTCTGTTACACACCTATGAGTGTGTATGAATTTGTTTCTCTAGTCATTGGAACAAGAGAGTCCAACAACAGACACAAGGGTGTGATGCAAGTTAAACATTAACATTTGAGTAAGCAGAGTGCAAATAAGCAGAGAAAAGGTTTATCATTTAATAAATGATGTTGACACAATTGGCTACCTTTTTTCTTTTTTTGAAGGAAAAAAGGACACTTTTAAAATTTATTATAACAGATATTGACAAAACAAATTTTACATTAAAATGCATTGCAGATGGATCAGAGAACTGAAAAGTCAAAGATCTACAGCTGGGTTGGAAATTAAGCAGCTCTCCTTTATGACGAATTGTATTGGTGTGAGAATTTGAGAGACCTGGGAAGCACCCCTGCTTCTTCAACCTGTTTCTTTCATCAAAGGACTTGCTAACCAAAAGGTGGGCAGCTAAAATTCAGCAGCTCCACAAAGAAGGACCCGGTGGTCTCTGTTTCTAAAGATTACAGTCTAGAGACCCCAATGGGGGCAGCTCTATTCTGTCATGTATGGTCACTAACTAAAAACAACAACAAAATCCCAACCTACTGTCATCAAGTTAATGTAGACTCCTCGTGACCCAGTGGAGCAGGCGTCGGCAAACTTTTGAGACATAAGAGCCAATCCTGTCCCTCACAGTTTATAAGACTTTCCAGAGCCATACATATATTTCTACAAACCAATGACATCACCATTATCTGAATAATATCCTTTAAAATGTTTCAATTGTACTTCAGACCCATATGTATACACTGAAAGAGGGGCATATAGCTGGAGAGCCTCAGTTTGCCAACCCCTGCTCTAGAGGGTTTCTGAGGCTTTGTAAATTGTTACGGAGCAGACCCCCGTCATTCTCCTATGGAGGGGCTAGTGGGTTTGAATCACCGACGTTACAGTTCACAAGTCCCTTGCTTTCCCCGACAGCACCGGCTAGGGCGATGAGCTCCTCAAGAAGAGGAACTGATCCCATGACACCTGACAACAGCTCTGGGTCAAACCAGCCACATGGACGTTGACAGGAGGCTGTCAGGCCTGGTCTGGATGACCGGCACGCTGGGGGGAAACTGCTATCTTGGCACATCTGAAGAGAACTGACGACGTGCCAATTGCTAGGTTCTGCATTAGAAGTTGAGGCCTGGTCTGGCTGATCAGCAGCAATGACTGATAACTGAAGGGTTGGCGAGTGAAGTATACTCAGACAGAGACAGCTCTCAAGACAAGGCTGGTTGTCTGCTTCTGAAAACTCCGTTCCTGAAAGCGTAGCGAGCTCAGTTCTGTTAGGACACACACGGGGTTGCCATGCGTTGGAAAGCACTGCTGCCATCAAGTTGACACTCATTGCGACCCTGTATGACAGGGACAAACTGCCCCCGGGAATTTCCAAGACCGCTACCCACTCTCTCTCCCTCTTTCTCTCTCTCTCTTTAATAAACCATGTAATTGGGGGCTCTTAGTAGAAAGTCCTATCTTTCTCCCTTGGGGTGGCTTCTGGTTTCCAATTGCTGCCCTTCAAGTTAGCAGCCTAACAAGTAACCCCACACTTTACAAAAACTGTGGACAAAAACGGTTGCTGGAACAGTAAATATAGATATGCAATTATATGCTCAGTGGCTATTCCATTCCATCTAAGCCTTGCCAGAAAGCAAGGCAAGTCCAAAACAAAAACTAAATTCACTGCCACTGAGTGAGTTTTAATTCTTAGCAAACCTATAGGACAGCGTGGAACTGCCTGATGGGTTTCAAGACTGTAACTCTACAGGCAGAGAAAGCCTCAGCTTTGTTCCCCAGGAGATGGTTTTGAACTACTCATCTTGTGGTGAGCAACCTAATATATTATCTACTGAGCCAAGTCTCCACAACACAAGCCTGGTGTTACCAAACCTTAAAGACATTCGAGAGAGGATGGAAATTTAGATTTTATTTTTAAAATATCGGCAGATCAATTTTTTCCTGGACACCAAAAACAACCAAACAAAACCCATCTGGTGATCTACCAGCTCACAAATTCTCATTTAAATGCAAAAAAACCCCAAAACAAAAACAGTAACCCACACAAACACAGGCCAAAATGCACCTCATCTTCACAAGCTTAAAGTAAGAAAGACTTTTCTAAACACAATCAAAGACAGAGTCTGAAGGACAAGACTTTCAACGGCATAAACATTTAAAACTTATGTGAGGCTGAACATCATGAACAAACACAGAGACAACTGATGACCACCCCCACCCCCCTTTCCCGGGCTCTGGCACAAGGGTGCTTGCTGCTGCCTGGGTCACATGCTGTGAGTCAGAACCAACTCGCTGGCCATGGGTTTGGCTTTTGTGGCTTGCGTCACATGCTGTCCTCCTGGTGAGAAGCACGTACTAAGTTAACAACAGCCTCACCAGGACCTCCTGGAACTGAAGAAGGGTTTCCTGAGTGAACCAGAGAGGTGGAAGGAGTGGGATAGATCATCCCGGATTCCATCCACCATCATTTGCCTGATAACTGCACAGGTGAGGCAATTCGAATCTACACGTCTCGTACTTCAGTGTGTTGTTGAAGCTCGAAGAGTATAGATAAGACTGAGTTGTTGTGTTATGAAAAAAAATTCCTCCCAGATGTCAAATAAGCTATTCTTAAAAGTTGCTTCCGAATCTTAAGATGCTCCCTTCAGTCAAGTGTAAGCATTTCATAATGTTCAAGATGGCATGGGAATGTGCCGAGTTGGAGGAGAGGTGTAAAGAGGTTAAAAAAACCCAATTAAGACAGAGGTCCCGGCCCAAGTGGATTTCACCTCCATGGAGTTTCAGCAGAGGCTGAATTATATGCACTTTCTCCCAGATCAGTGCAAAATGGGCCAGTGCCTTTAACACAGAATTAGGATGCTAATCTATATTCTCCTCCACCTTTTGAAAAGCATGAGTTAAGAGAGGCAGTTATGACTAGGTTTAAAGGAATTACGGAGGTCCTCTAGCAAGCTTGACTTCTTGTAGTACAAATCGGCACTTTCAAACACTTTCCTGTGCCAGCGAGTTCACAAGTTGTAAAAAAACCCCAAAAACCCGACATATTCTTTGGAAAGTTGATGCTGACATTAAATATGGCCACATCTTTGAATCACAGATTCTACTCTTACCTGTTGCTGCTGCTGTTGACTCGTTCGGTAAATGCCATTGCTGTCGATCAGTGGGGCTCGGCGGCAAGTCTGTTCATCTGAAAGAAAAATAGCAGCTCATGAGCAGCAGCTGGAAGTGAATTTATAGGTGTAACACTTGTGGTTGTTGTAGGCCGTCAAGTAAATTCCAACTCCCACAGCTCCGTGGGACAGAGCAGAGCTGGCCCCTGGGGTTTCCAGGCTGCATCTTCACGGGACGGGAAAAGATGAGGCTGTCTGCTCCTCACACACTTTCCAAAGGAGTGGTTCTGCCCTGCCCTAGGGTGGCTCAGAGCCAGAACTGACCTGGTGGCAGTGGCTGCTGTGGATGTGAGGAGCCATCAGGTGGGTCCCCACCACCACAACCCAAAGCACAACAGAAAGCAACACTGCTCGGTCTTGCGCCATCCTCACAACGAGTCCTAGGCTTGAACCCATAGTGGCAAGCCACGGGGTTCTGCGTCATCTCTACCGGGGCAGACCATTAGGTCTCCTGCCGGGGCAGCCACTGGGGGGCTTGAGTTGCGGAACTTTTGGTGAGCAGCCCAGTGCTTCACCGGCGCACCACCCGGGCTGCTTTGACTGCACTCAGAGAAACCTTATTGGAGACAGAATTCAAAGTTCTCATTTGAATTAGAAAGAGCCCTGGTGGCTAGTGGGCAACACACAGAGCTGCTAAGCACAAGGTCGCAGTTCAATCCCACCAGATGCTGCACGAGAGAAAGAAGAGGCTCTCTGCTGCTAACATGAGTGAGTCTCACAAACCCACAGGGGCAGCGCTCCTCTGTCCCTGAGGGTCACTGGGTGTCAAAAGATCCAGCGGCAATAAGAGAGTGGTGTTGCACTAGAAGATGGGTCTTCACCATCTCCCAAGTTACAAGAACAAACAGGCTTGTATATGTCAAAGGTCAAAAGCACTTTTAATTTTGAGGCAGCGACTCAAAATCATTCCATCAAGGAACTGGGTTCACAGGCTTGCCATGAGGAGGAAGGGCCGCAGCATTTCCCTGAGTCTGTTCTGGGCCACTCACTCTGTTAAGCCCTTTGAAAAAGCGGCACGGCACGCAAACAGTGTAAAGTGGCAAAGTAGCCAACAACACCGCATTTTACAGATAAGAAAAACAAGCCGAGGCTCCGTTTTAAGCAATAATGGCTTTCGGTCACAGGTTGTGTCAGCATCCGCACTAAAATCAAGTGGCAGACAGCAAAGACGACTAAGTACGCAAGAGGAAGGCAATCAGTGGACCCTCACATAAGAATTCAACACTTGGGTTAAAGGGGTGGGGTGGGGTGGTGTTGAAAGGATCACAAACCCATTTTAAGCTCTTACTTTCACTTATCACAGGTGCTCAGGCCACAAAACAAAACAAAAAAACCTTTTGAGTTTCTTCTAAAAACAGAGCTGGATTTAAAATTTTAAATTTATCCAATCTGAGCAGAAGGCCTGGGAACTATAATTTATAACTGTAGAAATGGCCTGTCTGTATATACCAACAGTTGTTTCATCTCCCAACCCCTTCATTGACTCCCCTAAAGATTTACAGGCTCAGAAACCTTATATAGGTCACTATGTCTCAGAAACAATTATATGCCTGGGGGTGGGGGTACTTTCTGGTTTTGCATATATTTGTAAATTGACTGTACTTACTGCAAGTTGAGGAGAAATCCTGGTGGGGCTTTAGGATAAGCATTGGGCTGTTCACCTCAAGGTCAGCAGTTCCAAGCCACTGTCCACTCTAAGGGAGAAGGCTGTTGTCCTCTCCATTAAAGATTTACAGCCTTAGGAGTCCTGCCTATGGGGCAGTTCTGCTCGGTCCTATAGGGCCACTAGGAGCCACACTCAGTTCGACAGCTTGTGGGTTTGGTGTTCTGGTACCCCAACTGGTTTTCAATAGTTTCTTTTTCCTTTTGTTGTTGTTTTGTTTTTCATGCATCCTTTCAAATGAAAAAGTGTTACTAAGTTATCTTAGTACAAATCTAACAAAATGATACAAATGGAAACATTAAGTAAGTGATAGTTCTAACTTGCCTGCCATGCCTAAGAGGCTTAAAGTGTTACAGCTTGGGCCAAAGCTGAAACAATGAACACAGTTCTTTAGCTCTGACTCCTGATAAGGCCTTTTATCTCCGCTTTCAGGGAACAAAACTGGCTAACTTGCTGACAACTATGTGTCCATACTTGAGGGGAACCCTCCCCCCCCCCAATGGCACCAGGAATCCTTACATTTCTATACTAGTAGGTACTTGTTCTTATCTCCTCCTGCAAGGGACTGCCTGCAACCTTGATGTTGCAGATCCTATTTAAATGCTGCCTCACAGAGCTCTAAAGAAGCACTGGTGCTAAAAACTTATGAGCATCCAGCTTCTAAGCAAGAGACCACTCAGTGACCCTGTTAGATTCCAAACCAAACTCACTGCCATCGACTTGATTTTGACTCACAGTGACTCAGAAACTGCAGGGCTTCTGAGATTGTAAACCCTCAGCAGAGCACAGAGCCCCATCTTTCTCCCAGGAGCAGCTGGTGAGTTTGGTCTGTAGACTCTGCAGCTAATGCTTGCCTGACAGTGCCTCAAGGGATCCCTGTGAACATCAAGTGGATGCCACCTGACTCATAGTGACCCTACAGAGCAGGGTAGAACTGTTCCTGTGAGTTTTCTGTGACTGTAACTCTTCATGGGAGTAGAAAGCCCCAGAGCTGGTGGTTTTAAACTGTCGACCCTGCAATTAGCAGCCCAAACTTGTAACCACTAGCCCACCAGGGCTCCTGAAATTACCGCCTAGGAAATCTAATAGGATAATGCTATTCTGTCACACAGGGTCATTAAGAGTCAAAAATTGGCTCAAGGGCACAAAGCCAAACTTAACCCCACAAGAATCAAGTTGATCTTAACTCAGAGCAACTCTATAGGACAAAGTAGAACTGCTCATTAGAGGTTTCTGGATGATCCATCTTTATAGGAATAGACAGCCTCAACTTTCTCCTAAGGAGGGGGCTGGTGGGTTTGAACCAGTGGCCTTGAAGTGAGCTGTCCAGTGCTTAATCCGCTGTGTCATGAAGATTCCTTAACAACACAGCACAGTGGTCGGTTTTTCCATGTCAAACATGCTTTGGAGACAGACACTCCTCCAACTACAGTGGCCCTTGGCAATTCCCTAACATCTCGGACACAGTACCCCATGCCCCTCCCACTCCTTGTTCACCAGAACTCTGTCTCTTTACTTTTTCCCCTCCTTCTTCCATATTTCTCTTTCTTCACTCTCTCTGCAGTGCTGGCATACACTAAGCAGCATCATTCTTCACAACCGTGCTGTAAGGTTTTCTGAAAATCCCCGGGTGGCAATCCCTACAGAACCATGTCAGTAAAGATGCTCGACTTACCAAGAAGCAGCGTCCAGCTCTAGGGCTGGACTGGTGGGGAGGGTAGGAGCCATGAGGGAGGAGGAAGGCTGGGTACCCACCTGGGAGGGCGACCCTGAGTTGACAGATTTCTTTATTCATTCATGTCGCCAACAAATACTTCCTAAGCTCATGGATCATCGAGTGACCCACTAGGACCGAATTGAACTTCTCTTTCAGGTTTCTAAGGTTGTAAGTCTTTCTAGAAACAAACAACTTCATCATTCTCCTTTTGGAGTGGCTGGTAGGTTTGGGTATCCAACTTAACAGGTAACAATCCAATGCCGACAATAGGATCAGGTATCAGGCATCAAATAACAATAAAATCATATCATTGTGAATAAGGGGGAGTGTGGAGTG